ATAGAGACGAATTTCTGTCTTGAGCGTTTTCAGTGTTCACCAGTTTTCATAAAATAATTTTCTTTGTTTTCGGCGAACTATGGAGTCTAAATAATTTTGTTCTTAGCAGACGGTATTTTTTTTAGTTGGAAAGATACTTAGAGGAGTGTCAAAAAATAATGATTGTCTGTAAATTAACCGGCTATTTAGATTAAATTTTTGACACATAAACTATTTCATTAGAAGTGTGAAAACGTATTGTGATTTATTTGAACATTCATGACATTTTCAAGTTACGTTAGCCAAACAAATCCGATCTGTTGGTATTGTTTAGAACTGTAAGATCCAAACTGAGTTCTGGATTGAGGAATAACTGTCTAAGTAGTTTAGATACATGTCTTTCCCAGTTGAAATCCAAAACAAATAGATTTGGGGGAATGACGGTTCTAATATTCATCATAAATATAAATATAAATCATTACCTAAACAAATATTACCACTCAGTTATTCCACCAACAATTGTTCAATTAATCAAATAAATGATATTATATCCCTTCTGGATAGATAAGATTAATTTGACAAATAATATCTCGTTGTCTGTAAATTTACCGGCTATTTAGATGAGATTTTTGAGACATACACTATTTCATTAGAAGTGTTAAAATATGATTGTGATTTGTTTTTGAATTTCTACACGACATTTTCATAAGTACAAAAATTATAATCGCGCTAATCGTGTTTTATTTTTCAAAGTTAAATAGTTCACAATTAATTTACAGATTAGTGGAAGGAATTTATCTTTTGATGAATTAATGAGGTTGGTGTTATTTTTGCAAAGCAAACAACCTTTACCTTGGTAATAAGTATTCGAAAATATACTGACTAAAGGACACATATTTGATAATATTTTTTATTTTCAGACAACATTGAAAACGATTGAATCATCAGTCACACATAAAATCACATCAAAATGATGATCAGTTTGGGTGTAGTATATTTGAAGTAATAAATATTAACGATGAAACTAATTGAACTACTTTTGTTTCAAATAAATTACTTACTTCACAAACAAACAAAAATAGTTGTCAACAATCATGCTGGATGATGGTCAAGTCATATCACGAAAGTTTGTTCGTTGATAGAATTATGTATGCACACATTAGAGAGAAGTTGCATGACAGAATGAAACAGTAGTACAAATGAATGATGTCTTTTTTCACAAATACTACTGACAGAATCGAATCATGCCCACAAAATCACTTAATTTAGAGAAATGCGTTGTCTAAAAATTGACTTGTCTTTGTGAGTTTGTAAGAATATCAATGATTCCTATTGAGGAAAATTAGAACAACACATATAAACGAACAATATGGTTTTTGATTAGATCGTCTCTAATGTACATAATTTTTCCTACTGAAAATCCAAGATTATTCAATGCAGTGAGAAGAGTGGTTTGTGATGTATCATACAGTTTGTGGTAAAACAATCAAATAATGAGGATTAAAATTTGAACATTGACGAATTGCATACAGTTTATCTACGTAGAATGAGATATTGTTTACTGAATAATGATTACGTCTACTGATGTTTATTCAGTCATGACATTTTGCTTCAATTATCTGTATCTTACTTTGCAGCTGCTATACAATAATTAGTACAAACTTAGACAATGAAACAGAGCCATCAGTCGATAACAGTCAGTTCAATGTTTATCCGTCGACCACAAGGTTTCTTCTATTAGCTAACTAAAATATGTTCATAATGTACAGTTTGATCATAGCACTTGGATAATCGTATTCACTCATAATTAAGGTGATTCATGATAGCTCACTCACGTGACTGTTTATTGATTAAATAAACCGATGGAAATTTTTTCTTTAGTGCCTACATTTCAGCCTACTCAACCGATATCCAATGGATTAACTCTTCAACTCTCATTCAGTCAGGAAGTCAACATCAAATTCTAATAATCATGTTGTTATTTCAATTCCTGGTGATAATTTTCTTTACGTAATCAAAACATGAGTTAAATAAATTGAGATATTTATGTAAATGAATGACTTCCATGTACGTACTAATCATCAATGCATTAAAATCAATTCATTTATCGATTTTTTTGGCGGTAGGTTGATGTCAATATATATATATATATATATATATATATATATATATATATATATATATGTCACAGACATATTTATGTATGCCTTGCTGTAACATGCACATACGAAATTAATGAACCAAGCAAGGCTGTTTATCAGTCAATCAATCTACATCCATCTAGAACTTTGTACGTCCGTACATCAGTTTGCGGGTGCCATACCTCATTAGCACATGGGCGCATTCATTAATTCAATTTCCATTGTGGTAAATGTAGTAGAAATATTAGCGGTAATAGAAAAGATGAGTGTTCTATGATATTATTCAAGAAGTAGTATCTAGTGAAATAAACTTAAGAAGAAAAAGATGAAGGTGATGAGAAACTCTGAAGTTCTAGGTTTTGAGAGAACACAAATAATGAATCGACCTGCACCCTTGCAAACAGTTTTCAGCCATATCATTCAGGGTTAATGATAACAGCGGGATAAAATGCACAAACCGATAATGGGAGGACACGTATACTGATCATCATGATATGACTCATAAAGACTTAAATCAATGTTACACAATAGGTGATAAGTTAGTCGGCTTAAGAAAACTAGATGCTCGACAAATATTCACACATAATCTATAGTTCTAAGAAATGTTTCTCTCTTATCATTGACTTATAAATTGCCGTAATAGGTTTAATCATTTCATCTGTGTATATAAATATTATTATCTATTAGAGTAGAGCCTGATGAAGATCTGAATAAAAACAGTGTAGTTCGCTTATATATATATATATATATATATATATATTGTTCTAATTCACAATATGGAAACTTTATAACATACCTATTTGCATGATTGTTTATGATTCATCGAACCCTCGTCACTATTTACCCAACATACTTTAATATCCTACAAGCTGGTATGTTATATTTCCTTATCAGTACAGTAATACGAATTGAAATTAATCAATAACATAAATTCACAAGTTAATCAACTGCTTCTTGTATCATTTCTGAGAATAAATAAATCATAAAGGTCAGACTTAATCAACTTAATTTAGCACCAACTAAGTTATATTTTCCCATATCTATCTGCTTAATTAAATTGGATTGTAAAAAAACTTAAGACTAATTTAATTATTGAATTATTGACTACAGAATTTCAACAACCATGTTCGTACAAATAACGTTTCATGAAAATTTATTTAGTTTATGGGATTTTTGAAGGTAGTTAACTTTCATAATTCACACCCCACAGTGAAATTGGTTAGAAAGTCACCGGAAAACACTGTTGTCATAGTACGGCACTCTTCAACCCTTTTTCAAAAGTTGCTTGACGAAAGTCAGTCCATAATATAATCTGCAGAAAAGGATCTCTTCACCTATTTCCTCATGAAGATGAAGCAAAAATCGCTTGTAAGAGTGAAATATGAATTTTTGATGTCTAGTTACTTCATCTGATGATTATATACATACACTGAAGTCATCAATCAATCATTTTTAAATCACCATTAGAAACCTGAAAGCGCTGAAAGACGGCCGTTTCATCCTGGTATGGGACTACTCATAGGCAGTGTGCATTCACTACTCCTGCACCTCACAGGATTCGAACCCAGGATCTTACCGGTCTTTCCGGATTTAAAACTGGAATTGTACAAATATTCAATTGCTGTAATTATTCAGCTATAGATTTTAAATTAAGAATCTTCTACATATACGGCACTCAGCTGTTTTTAAACTTCACAAATATTCATTTATATAATGATTAAATTTTTATTTATTGTAACTTGAAAAAATGTTTTGTAAAAAATATCTCACCGAAAACTTCCACAGAATATTAATATCTTGCCACTAAAGTAGAATTACAGTGAACACATCTCATAAGTTAATCATGTAATTTCACACATATATTTAGTTATATAAGTGAAATTCAGTTTTGCACTTAAATCAACCACTTTCATGTAATACTGTTCTAGTTTATATGTAGTTCTTTGTAGTTCATTGTTTTCAAAAGATCACACTTTTTAATTGTTAATCTGATTAATGGACTTGTTTGAAAACAGCAAGTATGTTATAGTGCTTATTGACTGTTGGGGATGTTAGATCCCCAGAACTCGCTTGATAAATGCCTTGATTTTGGATTTATTTCATGGACCGATCAGTTGACCTTGAGATCACATTTCCCATCCGGAAAATTCTTGGCTTTGATTGGTTGCCGTGTATTTTAGTGTGCTATTTTTGTGACTCTCCCAAGAAAGTTTCTATGATTAATAAATAAACGTGATCTGTGTACTGGCTGGCTGTTTGTAGAATACATTTTCTACGCTATATCAATACTTCTCGCTAGTACATTTGGGTTAAGGGATCAGAGTAGCCTACCTGGACGCTGGTTCATTGTTTTGTTCTCGTTCTTCGACTAAGATGAACCCGTAACAGGTTTAAGCATATCTAGAGAAGAGCGTAACATTGACTTAAGTACAATTTGAAAAATCATACCACTACCCTGAAACATCCTATCACTGTAAATATTTTTATCAAACATATAAAGTAGCAACCACCTTGAAAAAGTCACTCAGCCAATGTAGAAAATGACAAAACCCGTTTGATCAGCTAAATTACATCTTTGCATCAGCAGAGCAAGATGAACAGAAAAGCGAGTTGAACTATTCCTAGTAGCAGCAGTTAGAGCAAGAAAGCTAAGATGAGAAAAGAAAGAAATCAATGGAATAAAGTTGTGATAATAACACTGAGGCTAAATGTTTACAGAAACTTGTGGAATAAGTTTATTTTCGCCAGTCTAATCTATTGTTGAACACTGTCACCTGACCTACTATGTTTTAACGTAACAAATAAGGATATAAAACACTACAGATATGCGTAGTGAGTATATTTTTAAAAGTTTATTTCGTTTTCTTTATACTTATTCAGCCCTGAACTACTGGAGCAGCTATGGATTCAGCTGTATCGCTATTTGCCAGGACCATCAATGGGACCAAACTTATCTTCTGGTAATTATCACTGTATTTTTAATGTTATCTACATAAATCTTTGATCAATAGAAAAGATTTAAGTATGATATATTGAATAGAAGCATACTAGCTTTTGTTATGGATTTACAGCGTCAAAAAATGTCATTCTTTATACTCGAATATCAGTCAGTCAGTCAGTTACAATGTAGAACTTCGTAGAGTACGTATATCAGTTCATCAGGTGACCATACCACATTAGTACAAACACGCAATTTTCAATTCAAACACTAAAGCAAATGATATCAAGATTTAAGTCACAAATAATAAAACGGATGATTATTTTGGGGCAGAGTTTTGGAGGTTTGTGTTTTTACACATTTGAAATCACCAATCAATCATTGTTAGACCACCATTAGAAACCCACAAGCACTGGACGGCCGTTTCGTCCTGGTATGGAACTCATCAGTGGCAGTGCGCATCCACGACTCCTGCTCCTCGCACGATTCGAACCCGGGACCTCTGGTATTTTGCGCGAACGCCTAACCATCGGACCACTGGGCCGACATTCAAAGTATTTTAATTGAATGATTCGTTTAGCTAATCTCAATTATCTTTATTCACAAAATTGTTTCAATAATCACAGTGATACTTTCTGATCAATATATATTCAGTTATGTACTCAACTTATTTAAGTGGATAATTTCAAGTTCTCTACCCAAATGTTTGCTTAATTTCATCATGTTATACAGAAATTTGTTTTAAACAACCATAAAGACACTTTTAATAATGAAATGCAACTATGTAAACAGTTCAAGTTCTAGAGAATGGTCGACTGAATTAATCTAGGCATTTATTTGTGTTAGGGAAAAAAGAAACCAATTCAAACTTAATCATCTTGTAAACTCTGCCTGGAGCACTTCTAGGGTTACTACCATTCCTAAGTCCGGATAAAAAAGAGAAGAGTTGGGTATGATGGGATTAGCGACTCCATCCTGTAGAAATTCAATTCGCTGGAAGACCAGAAAAAGATTCCGATGGTAGGCGGCCTGTGCTCCATTAGGGGGAAACAGGAGTAAGTAAGTAAGTAAGTAAGTAAGTAAGTAAGTAAGTAAGTAAGTAAGTAAGTAAGTAAGTAAGTGCATAAGTGCATAAGTGCATAAGTAAGTAAGTAAGTAAGTAAGTAAGTAAGTAAGTAAGTAAGTAAGTAAGTAATACATACTGGTAACTATTAGGGTTAAATTAAGCAAGGAAATTTCATACTTAGAAAACAAATACTATCTACTTTAGTTTCAACTTCATTAAAATTTCTATGAACCAGTCTACAATTTACTCGGTTATACACAACTAATAAATTCCTAAACCTTTTACACCCATAACATTATGATGTAACAAATTTTCGAAATATTTCTAGTAAATTCTATGCTAATTTTAGGGTTTCTTTTTCATTTTTGAATCAAAAATTCTAGACGAACAAATAAATCGATTTTTAAAGAAAGGACATTTAGAAAAAGTTTAAAGTCCAAGTGACATTCAACGTAGCTTAATAAATCATATGACACGTTAATATCTATCATCAGTTAACACTTGAAAATAGATTTAATTAGTGAAAGACTTACAGTTTTTAGTAATAATTTTTTACTTTTATTTATAATTAGATATAACAGTATTTTCAACATTGAACATTTTTTTGTTCGACAATGTTCAATGTTAAAGTTTATTTTTTTGCAATTTTTGAATCTTCTATTACATTTTTTTCAAATTGTAGAATCATCAACCAGCATTGAACTTTCTGTAAGCGTTGACAATTTGGAATTATTATATCATAAAAATCAATTGGTAAGTCATTTGATGAATTGACTGACGTGAATAAACAAAGTTTTGTTTTCATTATACAATTATGGAGAATGTAAGACAATCAACCATTAGAAACTAGATCCATCTAGAGTTCGACATTAGCACCACTGGATGCCGACTCAGTGGTTCAGAGGTTCGGCGTTTGCGCCGAACATCGAAGGTTCTAGGTTCGATGACTATGAGTAGCGGGAGTTGTGGATGCATACCGCTCGTGAGTCCCGTAATTCGGACTAAACGGCTGTTCAGTGCTTCGAGGCTTTTATTTGTGGTCTAACAATGATTGGCTGATGATTTCAGTGATAGACAAAGCATTTCTTTAGACAAGGTAATATTAGTAATGCTTGTGTCAGTTATTTTCGTGTATATGACTAGTTTAACAATACCAAACTTTTAAGTTACATAAGATTTTCGCTTAGCGATCGTGACTAGAGTTAATAAAATCAATCTGTTTAATAACATTCATGATAGTTTCAAGAATGATAAACTAAATGTAAATAACTGAATTACAAGAGTAGTTAGTAATCAATTGTTTAGATTGATATGATTTATTTATTGCATGATATGTCATTAAAAGATTATTCAATTATTCAATGGAATTATACAACTAGAAATGTTAACAAATGTTTGCATTATTAATGAATTTGGATGATTTTATTTCATTAGAGAGTTGTGAAGATTGTTGAGTCTTATTGAACTCAATACATTGATCATTGTTAAACCATCATTAGAAGCAGGGAAGCACTGGATGGCGATTTCGTCCTAGTATGGCATTGGTGAGCAGTGCACTCCCACAACCCGTTCTCATGGGCGTCGAACCCAGGACCCTTGGTGTCACGTGCGAACGCCTAGCCCCTCAGCCAGTATTCAATGGTGTGAATATCCAACTCTGGTCAATCTAAGGATTTTGTACAACCCCACCCATTTTTCGTTGGTAGTTACGGCTGACACTCAAAACGGTTGAACTTTACTGGTCATGGTTTCTCACTAGAACTCCCAGGATTTCCTCACGAAGCTAGTTACTAGTGAAAAAATCATATGATAGAGTTATGGAGATTGTTGTTTTTCATTGAAACGTCCGTCCAACGCTTACAGATTTCTAATGATGGTCTAACAATGATCAATTCATAATTTCAATGAAAGATCAATTTCTATTTTTGGTTTCTAATAAAAATAATACTTACTTACGCCTGTTACCCCCAATGGAGCATAGACCGCTCACCAGTTTTCTCCAGCCAACTCTGTCCTGGAATTCCCTTTCCAGTTCTGTTCAATTTTTGTTCATTCCTCTCATATCTTTCTCTATTTCTCGGCGTAGTGTGTTCCTTGGCCTTCCTCTTTTCCTTTTGCCTTGAGGGTTCCATGTGAGGACTTGTCTTGTGACGCAGTTAAGTGCTTTTCGTAGTGTGTGTCCTATCCACTTCCACCGCTTCTTCCTGATTTCCTCTTCCACTCGAATCTGACTTGTTCTCTCCCACAGTACGTTGTTGTTGATGGTGTTTGGCCAACGAATCCGAAGTATTTTGCGTAGAAATCTGTTAATGAACACTTGTATCTTCTGGATGATGGCTTTGGTAGTTCTCCAGGTTTCCGCTCCATGCGGTAGAACTGTCTTGACAATTGTATTGAAAGTCCTGATTTTGGTATTGATTGATATTTGTCTGGAGGTCCAGATATTTTTTCAACTGTAGAAATGCAGCCCTTGCTTTGCCGATCGGCGCCCTCAGATCTGCATCGGATCCTATGCAGATGTACACAAAAATATTTCAACTGAACAGTATAGTGTTTGGTTTGTTTACAATCAAATAACCTTACGAAAACAATACCTTAAGGAATGATACAATTAAGTTATGCAGAAATTACAATAACATTGCTTAAAATGATAAATTGTTTGTAGTCTATATGAAACAATATAAATCAAACTTCGACTATTTAGAAATAAAAATTTATTGATATATTATGCTTAATGAAACTTGAATGAGTTATCAAACAAAAAAAAAACTGCAGTATACGTTGTTTGTGTCTTAATAGTAATGATTATTTGATCGATAATGTTTTAGACAGATTTCCTTAAACATTATATCTGTAATGTTTCTGTTGGGGGCGTTAGATCCCTAGAACTCGCTTGATAAAGGTTCTAATTTTGGATTTTATGCTTTCGCGCATAGGCTGATCAGCTGACATTGAGATTACTCTTCTCACTCGGAAAATCATTGACTGTCATTGGTTGATGTGTTATAATAGTACACTATTTTTGTGGTTCTCACAAGCACGTTGCTATCATTGTTTTGATAAGCTTGATTTGTGTGCTGAAAAACCTCGATTTTCTGGATGCTTGTAGAGTACACTTTCTACGTCTTATCAAGACGTCTTCCTCTACTTAGTGGGGCATCGGGAAGCTCAGATTACAGTAGCCGATCGTATCACAGGATCATTTGTCATCACTCTTGTTTACCGACTAAAGTGAACTCGTAATAGCATTCAAGCATAACTGTTTCCTATTGTGTATCTCGAAAATGTGAAATCGCTGAATCTTCAAATTATCATTCAAAAATATTTTTACATGAAATTTCGGCATTGTTTTTTGTTTTGAAAATGACTATTACATGATGTCTGAATAAGATGCTTCAATTAATATATGTACGCACATTTGTAAAATAGTTGTTGAGTGCATTTCCGAAATTCATACCATCTCATCGATTAGACACTTTCACTACTGAAAATTCACTAAAGCTGGTTCTGTGGGAACAACTCATCCTGTTTTAAAAATTACTCTCTGTCAATTTATTGAATTTCTAAGGCATCTTCATGCATACTATGCATAATATTGTCACACATTATTCAGACGATTAATGCATGCAACATCATGAAACAATTGTTTATTTGTCCTTGACTCTGATCATTTGATTAGTTCAAAACGAAACAATTCTTAGTCATCAACACAAGTGTCATGAAATGGCATTTTATAAGTTAAATTCATTTTTTTTTTCAAAAAAATGTGTCTATTTCAGTAAAAGTCAGTAAAAACTTTGGCTGAATATGAAAAGCATGATTCTTGAATTTCGTTTTAAACAATTATTTTTTCCATGATCGTTGTGATAAATAAATAAATTTATGTAGATATATTTATTTATTTCAGTACACTTCCTTTCTAATATGAATACATAGTGGCATAAATCTACTAGAAATGTGATAGAAGTAGTAAATATCTGATATAAATATATATGTATATACAATTGCAATCAAAAATAAACTGATTTTGTCTACTGATTGACAGTCCAATATACCAATGTAGTTTCTTTTATTGATATATATATATTTGGTTATTTATTTGAAACACAATATTTACGATAGAAATCTCGTTTTACATTTAGAAACCATGAATCACTCAATGTTAGACCATCACCATTAGAAACCTGGAAGCACTGGACGGCCGTTAAGTCTTGGTGTGGGACTGATCAGCAGCGAACATCCACAACTCTTGCACCCCACAGGATTCAAACCCCTGGACCACTGAGCTGGTATCTAACAGTGTTAATATCTAACTTCGATCAATTCACGGAGTTGCGTAACCGAAGGTTCTGTGTTCGAGTCTTGCCAGGTACAGGAGTCGTTTATGCGCACTGCTGATGAGTCCTATACCAGGACGAAACGGCCGTCCAGTGTTTCCAGGTGATCTAACATTGATCGATTTATGGTTTCATAATATATAACTTTCACAATCTTCACACCCCCGTAATGCAAATCTTGTTTTGTTGTCATTTGGTAAATCTTTTTGTTCGTCGGTTACTTAGTTAGTTAGATTTATTTTGTAATGCATAGAAACTCTATCGTAATGAATTGAGAATCTAAAAGAAAGTTTTTTAAACAAATTTGAAATGATCATATGAATGTTTAACTAGATTCTTAGTTCTAATAAATTAAAGTACAGATTCAAACTAATGTTTGGTAGTTAAATTGAGGATTTTCCATTTCTGATTGGTCACATTCTGAACTGTAGTATTTAGAGTTTATCCTGAATTTTATTGCAAAGCTATCAAAATCGTCACTAGATACGCTTGAAGCTATTACGAGTTCCCCTTAGTCGATAAAGGCGAACGAGACAAGTGCCGGCGTCCAGGTAGGCTACCTTGAATCCCAAACTGAAAAACAGAAGTCTTGATAAGCGTAGAAGTATATTCTAGAAACACCCAGCCAGAACAATACAACTCTCGTTTATTTATATATCATAGAAACGTTCTTGGGACAGTTACGAAAATAGCACACTAAAATACACAAACAGCAGCCAATCACAGCCATGGATTTTCGTGGTGGGAAATGAAATCTCAAGGTCAACTGATCAGCTCACGCTCGCAAACATGAAATCCAAGATAAGGCATTTATCAAGCGAGTTCTGGCGATCTAACATCCCCAACAAAAACCAATTTGTACAACGTAATCAACTGATAAATTTACGACTTATAAGATAATCTATTCCAGAACTTCACGACCAGTGAATTATTAGTTGTAAATCTTAACAATGTGACACTGAAAATCACAATCAGTGGATAGATACACTGAAATCGGGTCGACAGCTTGCTTATTGTGCGCGTATGCAGTTAGTTAACTTATAAGAGAAGCTCAACAACAGACAATAAAATGTAGTACCACAAATTAGCAGCTAAAATTGTTTATTAAGAAAATACTAAAATGAAGTAAGGAAGCTGAAGAGGGGGGTTTGTAAGTAATGACAGTTATATACAGTTATATTATACAGTTATATTACATAACATACATAGTAAGGATTAAAATTAGATTTAAAAAAAGTGATCATCAATGACTGGGTATACAAAGTAAGATAAGTAATTAACATGGATATTTTACCGCTTGTTAAACACCTTCCATAAGTATGATCGCCGAGACATAGAGAAAGATATGAGAAGAATGAACAAACATTGGACAGAATTAGAAAGGGAAGCTCAGGATAGAGTTGATAGGAGAAAACT